ATAGTAATGTAAAAGCATAGTAAATATCAAAGTGTGTGCATAAATTAATTTATTTTAACTAAAGACGAGCACTTTACATCAGTTAAATATAAACAAATAAAAATAATTGTATTATAATAAATAATAGTGTATTATTTATAAACATTGCTTTTATATGCTTATAATTAACTATGAAGTAAAATCTTGTGCATTAAGTAAATTTCCTTACTGATACTTATAAAATATTATCACAGTTTTCCTTCTCCAACTAAGTGGTTCTTGGATCATCCTTACAAGTTGAATCCCAAAGATTATGTTTATATCTTTTCTGGTTTAAACTCAATTCACCATTTTATTTTGACAGCTTTTGAACTATTTTTTAAAATATTAAATGCATATAAAAACTGACGATGTTATAAACAATATAAACGATGAATAACATTATTTATATTGCCAGTCAAACCTGTTGGCTTATAATGTAGTAATTTAAATAAAATAATAAAGTAAATATAAAAGAATTTATAAACATTATTTATATTACATTATTTACATATTCTAATAATTCTAAAGAAAAAACAACAACAAAAAGACAAAAACAAGTTAACAAAACTAAAATTGAATAGAACATTTATCATAAAAAAATGTTTTTTAATACTTAATGAACATTTATGATACAATAAACTTCAAGCATTTTTATGTAATCTAAGGCTATTATAAAAAAAAATAAAAAAGATCATACTAGTTATTTTTTGTACATTAGTTATCTAATCTTATTATCTTAGTTATCTAATCTTATCTAATATACTGTTTGTATATTAATATTTTAGATAAGTTTCTTTAATATGTTCGATAAGTTTTATAATAATAATTATACTAGTTTGAATGTACATTAAATTACACTATGTACATTAATACACTAGTTATTTAATGTAGATTAAAACTAAACATTTATTTGTTATAAACCAAATAATAATTATTTGGCAAATAATTTGCCAAGTAGGCATTAAAATTCAAACTGGTTTACTTGACATACTTGCTATACTATTGCAACTTATGCAAAGTAAGCAAAGCTACTGGAAACAGTTAAAATAAGTATATGCATAAATGATATATAATTAAATATAATTAAAAATAATCCATTTTATAATGCATTATAATATGATAAATATATCTAGTTGTTTATGTCTGTATGTTTAGTTTAAATCATATAAATGTAATGCATTATAAAAAACATATAATACATAGTCTTATTAAACACAGAAAAACAGAAGAATGCAGTAAGTATTGTTTTCTAAAGTTAATAATAATCATAACTCTGCGAGCTATGACGCCATCTTTAAAAGCGCATTTGTAACAACCATGGCGCTGAAAAAAAAAACATGGTTCACCCATGGAAATTCCATGGGATTTTAATTTTCATGAAATTTACCCATGGAAATTCCATGAAATTCCCATTTTCCATGGGAAAACCATGGTTTACTCATGGAATTCCATGGGTTTTCCATGGAATATTTCCGTAAGGGAAGAGCAAACTTAAAATCAAGCAATACTTAGAAACCGGCCGTTTTCAAGTTAGACTTGAAAAACCAACTTGAGAAAGCAAAAAGAATAACATGTGTTAAAAATGGTGTAACTATTACTATTTACCATAAATACAAGTTAAAATATTATTGGTTTCACCGTTAAAGAAAACGTAGTATTATATTATAATAACTTTCCGTATGGAATGTAAAACCGTTGATAAAAACTTGCGACATTTATATTTGACTTTAAAATCTCAAAAATAACGCGTTAAACTCGAGTAAAACTGCCCATAGTATACACGTGTAATATATACAAGTTTTAATTTCGAAAAAGAAATTAAAACCTGTATATATATATATATATATATATATATATATATATATATATATATATATATATATATATATATATTTACATGTGCCGGTTGGGTTATGGTATTGCAATTAACTTACTGTATAATAAAAAATAAACTTGTCAACATTTTTATTTATATTTTCAAAAGATTAACTCAAATACGCGTAACAACGTGGCACCGTGGGCTTTTAGAAACCAAGACGCTAACTGCAACGAGAGCGTAAAATTTATTATTTTTAAGTCGTTGTTGTTAAAGCCGTTTTTAGTAAAAATCATTACGTAAATTTTAATTCAAACTCAAACGTCACGTTTTGGAATGTTTTTGCTTATTTATTTGATTAATAATTTGTTATTTTAGCATGATTTTTTAAAATGATGTTTACAATTTTCACGGTTTTTGCATAATTCTGTTTACATTATGTATATATATATATTAGGGTGGGTCATAAAATTTTTTTTTAGAGTTGCTAACCTGGCTATGGTCTTGAAAGTTGTTTTTTTATGTACTAATTTAGGAAAGTATTTACTTTTATGGATTGAACAATGTCTTCCACCCGCAACTATAATTTTATTAAAAATTAGCAGGCCCTATTATTATTCAAAAAAAAAGTTTTTTAAAATTATGTGATGTAGGTACTCAAATAAAGCGAATTTTTATAAAAATTTCAAAAATAATATTTTTAATTTTTTCATATAAAAATTTTATTTTAAATTTTATTGCATAATAACTATATATTTTTAACTAAAAGTTAAAAAGGTGCATATATATATATATATATATATATATATATATATATATATATATATATATATATATATATATATATATATATATATATATATATATATATATATATATATATATGTATATATATATATATATATACATATATATATATATATATATACATATATATATATATATATATATATATATATATATATATATATATATATATATATATATATATATATATATATATATATATATATATACATGTATATATACAGAGCTTTTGTGATGCCCGGGTCCAAAAGTTTAATGGATGCCCTATCATACTTCAGGTCTTAAAATAGCAAATAAATTAATATAGTTTACTTTCATAAAAAACCTAAAATCACATCTAAATTTGGTTTGCAAAAACAAACTATGATAAAATCAATTCTTAATTGACAAACACATCTTCCGGGCCTTCTTAGCAGCAAAATTTGAAATAACTTCTTCATAATTAACGTTAATGGCTAAATCTGATTCGATTGAAAGGATCATCAACCATCCTTTCAATCTGATTCGATTGAAAGGATCATTAATAGCACAATCGCTCCTGGCCCATTGTGGAACGAAGTTAATCTTTGATGATAGCTAACTTGCTGAAAGATCTTTCTCCTTCAGATGTTGAAACGGGCAATGTTAGAAAGATTCTAAGAGAAACACACACTTGCGGAAATATTGAATACAGCCCCTTTGCATAAACTTCATTTAGAAGTTCGACAGGCTTTTTGCTGGCTAGAATATTTCTTCTTACGGAAAAAAAAATGGCGAACTTCATCAGAAAACTCGTTTTTACATAAGTCTTCTGGGTAAAGTTTAGCCAGATTCTCAGCTTTTAAACCTAGTTCTTGGTCTGTTTGAGATTTCTGTAAAGACCAAAGGAAGGAAAACTTGCTACATTCCTCTTCTATTACTTTAAACCTTGATCTCATTTGACTAGTCAGATTGTCGAGTGCAACATTGAAGACATTACACTCAAAGTTTTTTGATGCTTCTTCGTGGTTGTAACCAGCAGTTTCATCTGGGATGATCTTTTTTCGCGTTCTCTTTACAGTAAACATTATTTTATCAAATTTCAAGTTCTTTGCAACTTCTGTTGCTTCTATCAAAATTAGGTCCCAAGACAGACGGATTCGATCCAGATCCATCAAAAGGCCATTTAGAATCTTTACTTCATCATCGAGAGTGATTTGAGTGGATTGAAGCAAAAGACTCACGTTGTTAACTGCCATCAAACATTTAACCAAAAAGTAGTGAAAACAACAAATTCAAAAGAATTCATCCATTTAATGAGATAATGCACTTCATTACTACTTTCGCCTGGAAGGTCTAACTCTCTTAGACGATGTAATAATTTCAAGATCTCTCTTGGCTTTTTTGCTAGTGGCTTGACTGATGGAGTTCAATCCTTGAACTCCATCGTGTAACAGAAAGTTTATGTAATGATTGGCCTGTCTCCTCCTGAAGAATTTTCCAACGAACTGGGCTGCTGCTGAACAGATTGTATAGCTTTTGAACATTTCCAAAATAAGATTTTGCAGGAGCCGATGATTTAATAGCGTGTACTGCACACAAGTTCAAACTGTGAGCAGAGCAAGGAATGAAAATTGCTTGTGGATTATTCTGTCTTATCAAAGCTTGAACTCCATTGTAAATACCTGCCATATTAGCGCCGTTGTCGTAGCCTTGACCACGACAATTTTTTATGTCGAGCTCATTCTCTTCCAACACATTCAATATCAACTTTGTTATATAAGATCCCTTCTTCTTTTCAAGTTCTTCTAGCTTAAGGAATCTTTCTTTGACCTTCCACAGCTGATCATCATTGAAATGCAAAAAACGAAAAACAAACGTTATTTGCTCGCTGTGGGACGAATCGGGAGTGCTGTCCGTGATGATGGTGAAATATATTGATTTTTTGATTTCTCGAATAACTTCTCGAACCACTAATTTGCCGCATTCCTTGATAAATTCATTTTGTGATTTCCAGGATAAATAATGAGCTTGCATGCGTTTTTCTTCTTCTTGGTGCTTAGCAATAAGATGCGTATGATCTTGTAATGTTTTGTTGTGGCGAGCAATTAATTCGAGCGCTCCAAGGAAGTTTCCATTCCCATTTTTGAACAACTTTTGATTGGATCCTAATTACAAACAAAAAATAATCAAAATAGTAATCCATATTTATATCCAATTAAAACTTGTAATTTTGATTTTTAAATGACAAATAAAATAATGCAAAATATAATTTAAAATTTAAAAACAATATTCTTACCCCTAAAAGCTAAGCTTCTTGAAGCTAGAAAAATTGTGACGTCAAGAATGCATTGTAAAATTACTTTCCATCGCTTTGTTTCATCTCCAATTTGTTTTTCTAACTGATGCTCAATGGATTTTTGTGAATCGTAGCTGTTTTCCATTGGAGATAACAGTTACGGTGAAAATCGCTTTGTTGATGACTTTTAACGCGATCTGAAAGTTTTCTCCAATTTCCATGTATACCTCCATTCCAAGACAACAAACTGGATTGAACACCGGGTCTGGTTAAGGTAGGCAATCCAAAAAGGGAGCAAGGGAAACAAAAGAGTGATGCTACAGCCTTACTCCAAACGAGCCAATCTCTTCTAACATTTTCTCCGTTTCTTTGTTCTTCTAAAAAGATATAAGTAGGGAATTTGCGTTCTTTTTGATCTCTTGGAAAATTGCTAGGATTTAAAGAAGGTCCCATCAGAATTATATTCGTTCGATCAGTGTCTGATATTGATTTCCATACTGCAGGATCGTTAGAGTTTGGTATAGAAAGATCACTTTTATAAATTTGTTGGTCATTGTGACAATCAAGTCCAAAATCCAACTGATTCTTTTTTAAATGTGATGATGTTTTTAGGGAGTCATCAATGTCATCGGCGAGAAAAAGTTTGTCGGAAATATGGTCTGGCAACTCATTAGAGTCATTGATACCGATCTCAATATCATTGAACTATAAAGAAGTGTTAAACAGAATTATTCTAATTATTTTTTCATGAACGTCACAAGATTAAAAAATAGTTTAACTACCTGCTTGCATTTATCTTCGATTTTTGTCCAACGAACGGAATCTAAAAGCGTTCGTTTGTTTTTGCTTTCGTTTTTTTTCCGAATCATCGCTCTTTTTCCCTCAGCAGCTCTAGACAGCTGGTTCAATCGTGGAGGTCTTTGATTATTCATGCTAAAACTTATGACGATATAAAGAATTTTAACTTTTTAAATTTTAAAAATTAAAAACTTTATAATACTTTGGTGTTATTAATTGCAGAGAAAAAGTCAGTACTTACAATTAAAATATCCACTGAAGATAAGTTTCTTGTCAAAATATAGTCGGAACAAAATGCAGGCGAGTCAAAAACATACATATGCACAAAAGTATCCACAGGGACGCAAGGTTTAAGCAAAAATAAGTTAAACTATTAAAAGTTAGCCTTTTACAAACGTTAAATTAGAAAATTTTCTTTTTACGCTTTTTATTCTATCATGCGAACAAAAGGCCAATGAAAACGCGTGCGTTCAAATGGATAATGAAAACCTTGTAAAGTAATAATTATCCTATTTTAAATGCAAACAAAGTTTAAAAGGAGAAAGAAATTAATACACAAAAATTGCTTAATCTTTAAATACGTTATCAGCTAAATTTTTTATCACTTCAATAATTTTTTTTTAAAGCATGTAATGCCCCATAGACTGTGATGCCCGGGGCAAACTACTTCAATTGCACCCCCCCTCTTGGCGGCCCTGTATATATATATATATATATACATGTATATATATATATATATATATATATATATATATATATATATATATATATATATATATATATATGATGACATATATATATATATATATATATATATATATCTATATATATCTATATATATATATATATATATATATATATATATATATATATATATATATATATATATATATATATATATATATATGACATCATTTATATATATATATATATATATATATATATATATATATATATATGACATCATTTATATATATATATATATATATATATATATATATATATATATATATATATATATATATATATATATATATGACATCATTTATATTTATATATATATATATATATAATATATATATATATATATATATATATATATATATATATATATATATATATATATATATATATATATATATATATGACAACTTATTAAAAAAGAGGAATGAATTAGTTTCTAAATGTAGACATAAAAGCAAATTTCTTCTTTCAAAGTTCGATTGGCAGCCGTTCATATTTTTTCTTTCTTTCTGTTGTTTTTTGAACTAAACTGCACGAAAAATGCGCGAGGCCAAAACGTCGGTTTCCGCGATTCCCTAATTGCGTTAGGGATTTACCCTAAGTTCACAAATATTTTGTGCTAGAAATTAGAATTGCTCTAAAATCAATTTTTACGGAATTTTTTTGTTATTACCGTTTGGAATTAAGGGAATGTTTTCGCTCGAAATCAAATTAAATGAGTAGAAAAAAATATTTAGTAATATGAATTTCTAATACTAGTTGACAAGATATGGCTGGCATGTATTACTTCGAGAATACAAGTTCTAAAAGTTACCAAAATTTTTTAAGAAAATTAGCGGAGGAGTTAACTGTGGATAATCTTAGAAGTTTAAAATTCCTTCTGCATGATACTTTATTTGGTAAGAATGTTTAAGAAAACTTTAGTTTGAAATATAAAAATAAATATTTTTAAAAAGTTTTAAATTTATAAATTACACTATATATTTTTACGTAGTGGTAATTTATATGCTTTTATTGTTTACATTCATGCTTTCATAATAAGAAAATTGTACGAATACCAAGTATCTCGTTAATTGGTATTTATACATTTTTTATAGATTACAATGTAATTGAAAATGATAATATTTTTTTAAAAGTTAATTGGTATTTATACATTTTTTATAGATTACAATGTAATTGAAAATGGTAAAGTTTTATTGTCATAAGCTTATAGTTACATTCATGTCTGGGCAAATTTTTATATTATCAAATAGATTGAATTAAATAAAAACATAGTTATTTTATATTATTGTATAAGTGTATTTTTAAGTTATTTCATTCTTCATGATTTTAAAATTAGGTCTTTTACATAAATAATGGCTTGACTTTAACTGTTATAAATTTGGTTTTAATTAGAAAACTAATTCAATCAAACAAACTCAAACAACTTTCGATGCAGACAAACAAACAAATAAAATAATTAGTTATTAAAAACATGAATAAAGGTTGTATTTGAAATAGTTATAGTTACATTACTTAATAGGTACGCTACATGAAATTTTTAAATTCATTAAATTCTAGGTTATAGATATCATTAAAAAGAGCTTCATTTCAATATTTCAAAAGTGAAAAAATTATCAAAATTGAACCACCCCACCAAAAGTTATGACGTTTTTAAGTACCAATTTTTTGATATTAGAATTTGCTGAAGATACTGTGGTCAAAATAAAGTTTTTATAAACTAAAACAATTATAACTTAATCAATTCTTATCCAAAAGCTTATATCTTGGTATCAAAAGATAGGTGCAAGAGTTATCTAAAAATTTATAAAAGTTTTTAGATTATGGGTGCATCTGGGAGCAAGAAGGGGCACAAAACCACCATCCTTACCGGCAATAATGGCTAACTATATTTATAAAATGTTTTTTTTTTTAATAAAAATGTTAAATTTTATATGCAAGATGATTTTGTAATTAGTTATCAGACCACAGTCAAATAGAAGTTTCATCATTGCCTAGGTTGGATGTAAGGGTGATGGTTTTAAACACCCTATTAAAATAACTCTTTTTTTATAAATATTTATTTTTGTATTTAAAAAGAAATATAATATTCAATTTTATTTTACTAATTTACAACATCACTAGCAGCGTACCAATTATTTTAAGGGGTGTAGGTGGGGGAGGGGCGTGTCATTACCCACTTTCTTTTACAACCTAAAAAAAATTTTTTTTTAATGAGTTTTGAAAAAATATTTAAAATGCTATTAAAATAGTAAATTTTATAATAAAATTTTTTTTACTAAAATTCAAGATACGTCCCACAACATTTTGTCATAGTTAGAGATGGTTGCCCCTGACCTGAAAAAAATTTAAAAAACAAAAAATATTTTATAATATTATTTTAATAAGCTTGCGTCTTGGCTTATAGTTAATGATTAAGATATTAGATTCAATTAATGAAATTATATATTAATCATTGATAACAATAATAACAATCTTTTCAATCGATTTAAAAAATTACAATTTCCACTACTCGCTGTATGTATATTTTTTGCAAGTTTCACTATTCGCTGTACATTTTTTTGCTAGTTCCGCTACTCATTTTTTTTTGCAAGTTCCACTATTGACTGTACATTTTTTTACAAGTTCCACTACTCGCTGTACATTTTTTTACAAGTTCCACTATTTGCTGTATAAATTTTTTTTTACAAGTTTCACTACCTGCAGTATATATTTTTTGCAAGTTCCACTACTTTCGGTACATTTTAATTATAAAAATGATATGACCCAAATGAACTGAACCAAACATTTTGTTAAGTTTACACTTTAGGTGCATACTTTGCTATTGCATAAGTATTATCATTTATAGCAACATATTCAAGTAATAAAAACATTAATTCGCCTGATATGACATCAGCAACCAGCTGGAATTTTTTCATGCAACGGTCAACAGCTTTCATCTTTATTCCAGTATGAAATAGTGTAATTGATGTTGTTCCGTTTTTTTTAAGCTTTTCTATTTAGCCATCATATAAAACTGTCCTTCTTGAATTGGTATCATACCATTCATGGCAGAGGTTTCTCTCAACAATTCTTTCTGACATAACATCATTTAAATCATCTATTTACTTAGTAGACAATTTTTTAAACAAATTCAGAATTTCACTGATAATTAGTAAAGATAATTGTCACTTTAATGGTCTTTTTTCTTTTTTATCAATTTTTTTTTCAGTCTGTCTTTTATAAATCTCGGCTCGAAATTCTGCATGTTGGAGTCGAGTTTTTATTTGTTAAATATATATATATATATATATATATTTAATATATATATATATTAAATATATATATATATATATATATATATATATATATATATATATATATATATATATATATATATATATATATATATATATATTAAATATATATATATATTAAATATATATATATATATTAAATATATATATATTTAATATATATATATATTTAATATATATGTATATATTAAATATATATATATATATATTTAATATATATGTATATTAGGGCTGTACCGGATTTAATTTTTTCAAATCCGGCCGGAGCCGGATTTGCCGGATTTCTACCGACAGATCCGGCCGGAATCGTAGCCGGAGCCGGATTTCAAAACAAAACTACAGGAGCCAAAATCCTGTACATCCCTAATTCAGGAATTATCTTTTTCCGGATGTTTCCGGAATTCCGGATATTTTTTAAATTTTTTATATTTTCCGGTTAATTAAATAGTTTTCGAAAATACAGTTAATAAAATTTTTTCTGCTTATTACTGTCATCAAATGAAACAGTAATAAGTATATATAAACAGTAAATTTGTTGTCCATAAATTACGGAACGCTTTATTTAGTTAACAAACAAATCCAAAAAGATTAAAAGATTTCCCTCTCAGAGTAAACCAAAAATTAATAAGCATTTTAATTAAAGTTTAATAAAAATATCAGAGCAAAAGAGCGAATAATCTCCGAATTTTAAAATTAAATTAACGATGCGTGCCAAACTCTTCTCGTTTTTAAAAAAAATTGTAAATTTACATACAATTTAAATAGCTCTTTTAGCTATCAGCAAAAAGATTGCTTTTTTATTGATAAAAACTTTTTTTTTTAAGTAAATCACTTCGCTTATGGACTGAAACTTTTCTCAGTTTGTTTGTCGGTGGTACAAAATTTACTGCATCATTATTTTGTTTTCTGTTTAGTCGTACCATTGCAAGTCTCTTTTCTTACACACTTCTTCAAAGTATCATTTTTTCCCATAATTTCTTATTAATTGGAGACTTTAAAAAGTTTTGACGATAGTATTTGAAAATGACGATGGTAGAATAAACGGTACTCGTAAATAAAAATTCTGTTACAAAAGCTATGAGAGAAATCAGTTTTTAATTTCCGTCAAATATGAAAAATATCGTTAAATTTAAACTCTTTTGAGATTAGTAAAATCTAATTCAAGAGTGTAGTGAAACAATGTATAGTTCGATACAAGAATAAGAAATTTAGTATGACCTTCAACAAGTAGAAACTTCTATTAATCTTACAGTTACTATAATACCATGGTGTAATAATATGGTCGTGCGGTACAACTTCTTTTTGTTAAGGGTAAAAAAACGTAAAAAAACTTTAAAAAAAACTTATTATGACTGACTAAGATTAATTACTTTGTTATTAATAAGTTATTTCATACAAACAAGTGTTATATAATAAAACTATATTCTAAACTATTAGGATTTTATTCTATTTAACTATTTTAAAGAAATCTAAACATATATACTTTGACTAAACGTCAAGTGAATCAAATTGCTTTTAGGTGCCATTATTAGGTTTTTAAAAACATCGCATTTTGAGGCACGTTTTCTTTTTAATTCAAAAAGCGCTTGTTAAAATTAATTATATTTTAAACGAACGTTTAAACTTTTTTAGTTTTTGAACTTGGAGATTTTTTTATAAAAAAAGACTTTGTATTTTAAATTAAGTTTAAAACATTTTAAACACTGAGTGGAAAAACTAATTGTAGAAAACTAACTGAATACAGAAAAATAATTCAATATCTTTTTACTTTTTATTTATTTTCTTTTTTAACATATTTGTTACTAAAGATTTCTAATTTTTTGTGTTTTAGAAGTCTGGTGTTTATTATTATTATTATTTCCTTTCTTTTTACTGCGATTGAAGTATGCTCCGAAAATAGTTAAAATAAAATTCATTTATATTTTCCAAAAGTTGGTGTTTTACAGGTAATAAAATGTTTACTGAAAGAAGTTTGCAAGCAAAAGTGTCGGATATATGTCAGTTTATTTTGTAAAATTACTACAAAAAAACCAAAACGCTAAAACAACCCCCATGGGATTTCAGTTATGGTGGCGGCTCTGATCTCTAACAACGCGTTAAACGTTTATCTATTTGTATATCTTTGGTGAATTGAAGCAATATTTCATTATCTATTATATATTTAAATGTATAAGTGCATGTCTAAAAAACTTTCCGCATTGTTAAACAGCTTTTAAATATAGTTTTCTACTTCTTTTTTGACTTTATTTTCTTCTTTTTATTATTATTGTTAAAATTTTATCATTATTATTATTCTTTTTTGATGAAAAAATTATATAGTTTTTTATTCATATATACGGTGAATAAGGATACTTTTAAACTGGTGTAATATTATAGTAATATAAAGAATGGAGGAGAGCATGCCTCCTCCCTCCTTGTTAACATCTCTTTGTATATTCCGGATTTATTCCGGATATTATAAAAACATTTTCCGGATTTTTTCCGGATATTTTAAGGAAAAAAAATTTCCGGATTTTTATAATATGGCCAGGATCATCTATGCTAATTGGTGTTGAGCATGGTCAACAATGTGGACTATTCAGAATACCAAGTGACTGCTGTTT